CAGCACAAACCAGAATGAACAGGACACAAAGGCTGAATGAGAGAGTGGAATTATTTCATCTCTTATCCCAGCCAGGGCCCTGAGCCCCAAATGGCTTCATGCTCTCGCACTACTTTGCCAGTAAGGCTTCGTACAATGAAATTCTTGCAGCTTCCTATGTTAATCCATTAATACCTGTGAGAGCAGGCTGAAATCCCTACTCTGGTTATCATTCTGGAACCAGAATGCCCAATAAACACTATCCCATAAGCTCTGTTATTCACTCTTTATTTTACTGAGGAGAAAGTGAATTGCTTATTTTAGCAAGCTATGTCTGTCAGTGCTGGGAGAACACAAGAACAGATTAGACCCATGGTCCTTCTATCCCAGGATGTTATCTCTGGTGACGGGCAGCAGTTTGCATCCACTGCACTTACAGTGACTGCACTCTCCCTGCATCTGACAATTCATAGTGTAGACAGCCAGAGCCATCATGTTTCCTACCCAGAATCTGTTGTGAACTCATCTCATCCTTTTCAACCTGCTTATGCTTTTGCCCTCCACAGCATCCTGTGGTAATGAGCATTACAATTTAATTAGCAGACATGATAAGAAACATATCTGACTCTATTCAGGTGCTTAAGCCAGTCTTTCCCAAACAGTGAATCAGTGGCCTGTCCAAGGATGCAAAAGGGATGCAGGACACGTGAGAGAAGCCAGGAAATTGCTTCAGGTCTTACCGGAACATGTTCACTGCACATGAAGAGGGAGAAACTGAGAGAAGGGAGAAAGGAATAAGGACGAAGTAGCTTCCTGACTTGAATCCAGAGATGAAGCTGAGAACAAATAAGTGTCTAATGATGTAACACAAACACCCATAATTCTAACAGCAAAAACTGTCCTGATGCTTAAGTCAAGTCTCCTGTCATGGCCACTGTGACCATAACACTATAAAAACCCTAATGTACTCTTAAAAAAAAATAAAAAATGGAGAAATGAGGACTGAGGTCTACCTGCCACTCATACACATAGAGAACCACACTTGGCCTCTCCAGTTCCTCACCTTCACAGCCATCATCTCATGGAAAACATGGCAAAGATGCCATACCTACAGCCACACTTCACTCTAAGGACTGCTTTCCAAGACAGGAAACCCCAGGAAGAGCACAGGTTTTACACTGACTGACTCCACAAAACAACACAGCATCTTCTTCTTACCATGATGATAAACCTGCCCGGATCTGCTCTGGGGATCTGATCCTTGTGCAGGAAAAGGGGATCAACCCCAGCTCCCCTCCTTTTAACCCTGGATTTCAACCCTCATTTCAACCACTTTTCTTGCTTCCCCAAGAGGGAACTTAACCTAACTTACCCTGAAAACACACTGAAGCATAACGGCTCAGACAGCTGAAAGGGATAAAAACCCTGCTCTTCCAGTGACTGCAGTCTCCCACACACAGAGAGAGCTCCATCTTCCTATGGCTTTTAAGTGCACAGGGCCTGGGCAATCAGGAGGACCTGACTGGCAAGATGCTCTGTTGCAGTGATTTGTGCTTACTGGCAGGAAAACCAAATGAGAATAGCCTCTGCCATGTTCTGATTTTGTCCTAGAGACTCACCTAGCTAAAAAGAAACCAACAGCTGTTTCAAAGCCACTGACTTGCTTTGGTACTTCTTGATCTGAACCACAAGCTGGGTCTGGATCCTTCTGCAGATACATGTACCAACACCACATTGCTATCCAGGATTTGGGGCTCAGAAACTTCCAGGAATCACTTGCTAGCTTACATTTTCCCCTAAACTGGACATTGTAAAGACTACCAACAAGACACTGGCAGCACCCTGCCTCTCCGAGTCAGGCAGTACACCTGGTTCCCAGCTCTCACAGTAAGTGGGACATTTAAAAGTGCCCAAATGCAGTTTCGACATGAGCCTGCTCACCTCTGTGCCAGACTATCAGCCCAAGCAACTGGAAAACCCTGCTTGCTTGTAATACTTGCATTCAGGCACTCACTTATCCAGGTTCCTCTCATGACAAAGCTAAAACACTGTGGCAAATCCAGCCCTGACTTTTTGATGGTTGAATCCTGCCTAACTTAGTGATCCTTGCTGATCATGCCATTATAAATGCCTTATCCTTGAGGCTGGCTTTTCTCTGCTCCCTCCTGTTTTCCTTTCTCTCTCTGTAGCCAGAAATGATTTACATGTTTGTTTACTCTGAGCTACATTCATCTGAGTCATTCAGCAACCCTCTACCCACAATCACATCACAGCAAAGTTTGAACTGGAGTCTTGGTGAGTGAGTATTGTGCTGCTGTGAACAGGAGAACGTGGGGCTAAATTCTGGGCCATATTCTGCCACTGGCTTTCCAGCAGAACTGACCTTTGCTATGAACATGTCAAAACTCAAGAGCATCATAGTCCCCTGTGTTCTACATTACTTCCTGGAGCAGGAGAAACTCCAGCCAAAGGAATTACTCTTTATTTACACCAGTGTAACAATTAGTAAGATTTGGCTCATTTTGTACAAATTATACTACCGTACTTGTAGGAATAATCTTTTCTGTTTCAAACTAATTTTAGCCCCTCTTGAGCGGTGATTATCGAGCTCTCCCATCTGTTGTACCAAAAAAAAATTATTTGCACATAGCTTTTGTGAATTTTCTCCTCTGAGGTATGTTTCCAAGAACTGTATCCCTCAAAAACCAACGTAATCGTATTATCAGCAAGACTCATAACGCAGCTGACAGTACCTTCTCTATTAAATCCACCCCATGAAAAGACCTCAGAATTGACATTCTAAGAATTTTTTAAGGTGGTCTGAAAGCAGATCTCTGCAAAAAGCGAGTTAATCAAAGAATTTTGCATCTTGCCATTACCTCAGATGCGATTCCGAGCAGAAGCTATTCAGGGATCCTACCAAAGCAGAAGGTGGTTAAGAAAATAACAATGCTTTGAAAAAATACATATTACAAAACCAGTGAGATTTCAGTCTCCTAGAATGAAAGCAATGCGCATCAAAATAGAATGGATTCCTTCAGAATCCCAGTGATAAAAACAAGGAATTCTGTTCATGCTGTATGCACTTGGGAGATAAATTAAAGCTCATCAGAGGTTAGTCAGAAGCTCAAGTGCTTTTCCATCTAGTTTCTTTCCACAGCTTAAAAAATAATAAAATAAAATAAGCCAGCATCTTGACCTTTTTCTTTACTTCTAACACTAGAAATGTGCCCTGTCAGTGTCTGAGACATTGTTCTTGCCTAGGAAGACTTGCTCCTAGCTGAGAGCACATTGATCACTGCTATAGCTCTAAATACACACAACCAGATGGAACAGTAAAGCCACACCACAGAGACCAGTGGACTCACAGTGGGCAAGGCTGATGTCATGGTCAGGGTAAGCTCTTTCATGTCTTTATCCACCACTTGCAGCTTAAACCATCTAGGACAGAAGCGTTTCTTCAGCTGGTAATTACTGCCAAGTTACATGCGGAAGAAACTGGGGGTGAATATTCAAGGACAGAACAACGAATGGCACATCTGATGACACCCAAATGTTACATTTTTTTTTCCTTTTCCTCAGAAACGACACCAGATCTCTTTACTCAAGGAAATAGTTCCTCTAGCCTGCTTTGGACCTGTCTGCAAAGACATTTGGCTACAGCTTCAATAAGGTGCCTAAAGACACTGCTTTAAGGTCTGAAAAGCATTTTTAGAACAGCAATAGAGTAATTTGCATTTACACAGTACCTCCCTGGCTGAGAAGTGTTTTCAAGGGCTCCTGAGTAGCTGCACACAGCCCTGAGAAGCAGCAACACAGGATAAGCCATATTTGACGGAGAAGGCAAGCAACACTGAAGAAGACGGAGAGATTTGCCCAGGATTAGGCAGGATGTCGACAGAAGAAAATAACCCTCCTTGGTGGTTCCCCCATGGGGACAGGCACACACACACACACACAGACACTGCAACCACATGACCATCCTCGTCCCAAAAATCTTCCCTTCCATCTCCTCTTGCATTCTGCACAGGGCGCTGCATTACATAAGCTTGCTTGCGAGGAGGTGCACCCGGTACAAAACTTATATCTGACCAGCAGGAAGATGAAATATATTTCATTACACAGTGGAAAAGTTAAGGGGAAGCGATCAAACGGGCTGGAAGTTCAAAGCAACACAGCTCCCGTGCAGCAGCAGCAAGACTTCATACATGCCAGTGCACCCATGTTACCTAGGGCATGTGGGATTTAATGGAAGACTCGCACATTACCATATTCATAACCGTGACTAACAAATCTGTTGTCAGTGCCACCAAAAATATCACACAAAGCAGAATGTTTCTGTGCCAAAGAGACCACTGAAGTCACGGTTCCATAGTAAACAAATGAACTTATGGAGAGTCTTGAGAATCGGCCCTGACTTTTCTTTGTAGGCTGCAGAATTCGATAAACTATAAACTGCCAGATGCTCGCGTCTGTGGACTGAAGGGACGATGAATGAGGCATTTCTTCTGCGAGCATCACAGCAGAGAACACCCTCTGCGACATCACTGTTACCTTTCCCACCCTGAGGGCTCCTGGGTCAGCGGAGAACTCACAACCAGGTCAAAGGATGCCGTAATTAACAACAATTTACATTCGGATCTAATCCGTGAGCGGGAGGACGCAGGTGGCTGACACGGGGCGCGCTGTCATTTAGCGCAAGGACAGGGAAAATTCAGCTCCGTCCCTTGGGGTGCGAGTCCCGCTGGGGCCGGCAACTCCTCACCGCGCTCCCCAGCCCCGCGGCACCCACAACTTCAGCAGGAGAACACCCCCCCCGCCCCCCCGGCCCGGGGCAAGCGGGAGCCGGTGCCCCGGCCCAAGTCAAGCACCGGCCCCGCCACACGCGGCTGCAGAGGGGACGAAGGGCCCGCGGCGCCAAGTTCGGTCACTGCCCTGGGGTTCGCGGCGGTCCCCGCCCGGCCCCGCCGCCGCGGCCCCGCTCCCCGCGCAAGGTGCGCGCCCGCCGCGGCCCCGCTCACCTCCGCTCCGCTCCGTCAGGCTCTACATGCCGGGGTGCCCGCGGGCCCGGGCCGCGGGGCCGTGCCGCTCATTTGTAATCCGCTCCTTGCCGAGCGCCGCGGGGGGCGGGAGCCCCCATGCCGCCCCGCCCGCGCTGCCCAGCCCGATCGCCCGAGGCGGGCGCGCTACGCCGGCGGCGCGGAGCCGCGGGGCCGGTGACAAGCAGGGCAAGGCGGGAGCGGCATCGCGCTCCTCGCCCCGGCAGCGGGCGGGCGCCGGGTCCCGGCGGTGCTCCCGGCAGCAGCCGCCTCCGACCGCCCCTCGGCGGGAGCCGGGGCCGAGTCGGAGCAGAGAGGAGAAGAGAGGGAAGGAGAGGAGCGTCGCGGGCAGGGACGCGCAGCGCCCCTCGCACTCCCTCACCGGCGCACGCCGCCCCTCACACACACACACACGGGTACACCCGCCCCTCACACACACACACACACACACACACACACACACACGGGTACACCCGCCCCTCGCACACACACACACACACGGGTACACCCGCCCCTCACACACACACGCACACACTCACACGGGTACACCCGCCTCTCACACACACACACGCACACACACGGGTACCTCCTCCTCTCCCACACTCGCACACCCATACACCATCCCCTCACACACAAACACACCCGCGTTCACAAACACCCAGCGATACAGGCTCCCTTAACACACACACACACCCACCCTCCAAGTTGAAGCAGCACTAAGGGGAGAAGGAGAGATCACACCCATCTCCCCAGTCACACTCCTCACCCCACACACCCCTTCACACACACCGTCTCCACACTCACTGTCCTGGTTTTGGCTGGGATAGAGTTAATTTTGTTTCTGGTCCAGTGCTGTGCCCGGATTTCGTATGAGAATGATGTTGATAACACAGCAATGTTTTAGTTGTTGCTACTCCAAGACAAGGACTTTTCAGCTTTGCACACTCTGCCACTGAGGATGGGCACAAGAAGCAGGGAGGGATACCTGACCTGAGCTATCCAAAGGGATATTCCACACCATAGGACATCAGGCTCTGTGTAGAGACTGGGGGCAGTTGGCCGGGAGGGTCCAATCGCTGCCTGGGGACAGCCAATTGTTGGTCGTGGTGAGTGATTGTTCTATGGCTTCCTGGGCCGGTGGTGGAGAGGCTGAAGGTGGAGGCTGAGGGGTACCCCTCCATTCCAGCCGCTCCTGGGCTGGTGAGAGCCATTGGAGCCCTGCACCCCAGCCTGAGCCCCTGACACCGGACAATCCTAACTGCCTGCCTCAGCTGCATCCAGCCAAACTCCCTGCCGGGCCGTTAATACCTGTCAGCCCACCACTGAGTGATACCAGGTTCAGTGATCAGCTCGTTCCAGCCACCTGAGGGCTCTGAGTTTGTATGTCCTCCTCATTTCCCAGACCCTATGACGCATGGGTGTCTAAATCCTTTAGACAACTGAGAAAATCTCTTAACTCATTTACTGACAGACTAAATCCAGGGAAATCCAGTTTTTACCTTTTCTCTCACCAGGAAAGCTTCCCTCTGGTCAGCTGGAGGCACTTTTTCTGTCTTTCCCTCCTTCCTTTTCCCACTGACTCCCCTTTCCCGGCCAGTGACTGGTCACACTGCGGTTCTCTCCCCCTCTTCCCACACTCTCAAGCCAAGCATAGCATTTTATTTATGCCAGAAGAGTGAAGCTCCAATAGATGCATTTGTGCCATTCCTGCCTTCTCCATCATGCTGCCACAATGCCTATGGCCAGACCTGTTATGGGGAGGATTGCACCCTCCTGACAGCACCCATGTGGGAGCAGGTTCGTTTTCTTACTCTGCTCCCCCATGCTAATCCCCTGTAGTTCTGTCATGGGCACAAAATCCCAGCATTAAAGTGTTTTTCCTTTGTAAGCACTCTAATTGTTACAATGAGCTTTTCTTACTGCTTTACGTTTGAAACTGAGACTTGACGCTCAATAGGAGTTTGTAATTGGCTTTATAGACACGTCAAACCTGTGTCCTGCCCTCTTTAATCATCAAAGTTGTCCCCATTCTCCCCTAAATTTTGCTGGGATATTGTTAAAAGATGAATAATGCATACTAACACTCTGAACTTGCTGCACTCTTCTGGCACTTTTCAGAAGAAAGCACTTTACCAGCTACAGCCTGTGTACAGGGACCACTTTATCTGTCACAGAGATGCACCCACCTATAAGGTGAAATGCAACAGTGGCTTTAATGGGGTACAAAACCATTACGCAAACAGTAACAGGCTCTGCAGCTCCAAGTGCCATATCCTGCCAGCAGCCACACTAGGAATGCACAAGCTAAATTGGTCAGAGCATCAGGACAAGCACTTCTTCCCCAGCAAAACAGTACTTGAGTCGACTCAATATTTTATCACTGCAAGTGTTTAGCAGCCCTCCTTGGCCTCTGAGGTACTGAGTAGAGCCGGGTAAATGATTCAGAGCAAATCATTTATTCAGAACTTCTGCCCACATTTTGTGTCAGTCCAAGAACACAAAATTGTTTTCTTCCTGCTCACATTCAGTCAACCCATGCTTTAGAGTTTGCCTGGGCTTTAAATCCAAGGGCTGGCATACGTGACACGTTGCTGCAGGGGTTTTGCTGTACCGTATATACGTGTATGTGCTGAGTGGGTGCAGTTGGTTTTGTAAATGACATCAATTTGTCCCTGTTCCACTGGGACGAACTGAATTTACTGCCAAGAAACAGCCTTGAGCCCAAGGAGAGCCCTTTAGCGGCCAAGATTAGGTTCAGATTAGTGACAGAAAATAGTTTAAGGGAGAAAGAAACAAATAATTTGCAACCATGAAGCAAAAGACTCAGGTCATTGTAAAGCAACAACATAGGTAAGGGCTTCTCGAGCTACCTCTTCTGGTTGGCTTGATTAATTTCCTTTTGTATACTCTCTTTAGGATTTTTCTGTGGTTTACTGCAGACCCTGGTCCTTGGTTCTGCCCAGCCAGGGTGCTTGACCACAGTCTGGAAGAGCAAAGGGTTGATTTTTGTGCATATGGAAGGGTGCAATGCCACCCAAGGGACAACAGGAAAAGCTGGTGGCAGGGCAGCCCTGTGAGCAGGGAAGGAGGGCAAGGCTGCAGCGAGGCTGTGCAGGGTTCTGGCAGAGGCGAGCTTCACACAGAAAGCAATGCAAAACACCCCCAAAAATCCCATACATGCAGGTGGTGTTATTTCTGAAGAGCAATACTAACCCAAATTCCTTTTAACACATGTATGTGTGTATATCCATCCCACTTGGGAAGCCATTCCTCTGGAGCCACCTAAACTAAATTGAAGAGTAAAGGTCCAGGTTCCTAACTACACCAAGCTCCAGCAGTGCGTGGTGGTACTGCTGTCAATCAGAATCGGGCCATTGTGTGTGAACAACCGATTTTGTCTCACAAAAGCTGTGATGTGGTGCTAGTCATCTTCAGAACAAAACCAAGTAAAATGTGCAAGATTGTTTAGTTCCCATTTCTCCATCATAAAGTGAAGCATCTAAGCCCTAAAAACAGAGAGGGGAGCAATTATTCTTAGAAACAAAGCCTCTGGAAAATGCCTTTTATCTCGCTGGAAAAATGTGTATTCCTTCTTGGTGCAGAAAGGGAGATTTTGCATATTTTAATTAGATCAGTTGAAAAGTTGGGGAAAAGGGAACCTGCTTTGCTGTCAAGCTGCTTAGTGAAGAAAAGTTCTGGAAGTTCAGGAACTTGGAGAGAGCTTTAAATCTCCACGGCTAAAAATAATTCATCCTCTAAGAAAATGCCACAGATTTCTTTTTCTCTTTTATTTTTTTTATGGCTGCCTTAGTTGACTTCAGGTCATCAGAACATGGAAATTAAACTGGGAAACTGGAAATCTTTTTCATTTTAACTTTCTACACTTCAAAACCTTCTCGCTGCGAACAGGGCAGTGGGTAGTCCCTGCGGGGCTGCCATTTTACTTGTATTTGCAAGAAGTAGTGCAGCTTGATGAAATACAGCTTGACAAGAGGTTCGGGGCTACAGCTGGTGATGCAGACATGGGCGGGAGATTTCCATGCCTCCTCTTTGGTGGTTTTCATTTTTCCCTGGATTACCTTTATTATCATTATTTCAGATACCATCTTTTTTACTCCAGTGAACGCCCACTGAACAAGCGCTCCAGGTCAGCTGCTTCACTGGTGCATGGTCATCACAGTTTGGTTTGTGTTAGTGGCAGAGCACTGATTTACATCAGGGAACATCAACTGTTTGAGGCCAGGTTGGACAGGGCTTGGAGAAACCTGCTCTAGTGGAAGGTGTCCCTGCCTGTGGCAGTGGGTTGGAACTGGATGAGCTTTAGGGTTCCTTCCAACCCAAATGATTGTAGGAGTCTATGATCAGGCCCCAGAACCTGCTGCTTCCACTAAGCTGCGTGGAAAAATGACTTTAATTTCTGTTGTCACCGTATCCCTTCCATCCTGCAATGGATGTGTTAGCCCAAGGGCAGTTTGAATCCATTTACTTGTTAAGCTAACAGTCCTTTTTTTCCCTTTTGTAATACATAATTTAGGTTGTTGTTTCCTGCTTGCAGACAGACACACCGCCGGTCTGTTCGGCTGCTCACGTCAGGATGGGTATTTTCTGGCAAGGTTGACGCTGAGCTGTAGGACAGGTGAAAAGACCAAAATTATCCTTCAGAAAGACAGCCTTTAAACAAGTTATTCCCTTCCTCAATTTTACTCCAGTCCTTCAGCACAAAGCAAGCCAGCTCTGAGTCTGTTACATGAGTGCATTGTTTCATGACTGCTGCTACCTGCAGGAGCCAGCAGGAGATAGATGACCACGAGCAGCAGCCACAGTGCTGTTTAATAGATTGATGCTCATTAACTTAATGCCATTTGCTCCTTCTGCTCCCTGCAAACACAGCTTTAATGCATTTCCTGAGCCCTCCTCATGCTCCCCGTACATGTGGCTTGTGCGTGCAGCTCTGCAGGGCATGCTGGCCCCAGCACGGCTTCCCTGCACCCACTAGCAGAGCTCATGCACCTGATAGTCTGTTCTCAGAAATGCCCTGGCAGTTCTCCCTGCAGACACGGGTGTGGGGTTTAGTGCATACTGGATCTGCCAGAAAGGAAGCAAAGGTCTTGACCTGGCAATAAATATCATGGGAAGAGTGATGGGGGAACTGCACAGGGCTCGGCAGCCAGGGGCACTCAAGCGTGTTCTGCTATTTGCAGGCATTTGTATGAG